CAGATGTTAGCAGGTGTTAGCAGAGGGCAGCAGGCAGATGTTAGCAGGTGTTAGCAGGTGTTAGCAGATGTTAGCAGATGTTAGCAGGCAGATGTTAGCAGGTGTCAGCAGAGGGCAGCAGGCATATGTTAGCAGGTGTTAGCAGATGTTAGCAGATGTTAGCAGATGTTAGCAGAGGGCAGAAGGCAGATGTTAGCAGATGTTAGCAGGTGTCAGCAGAGGGCAGCAGGCAGATGTTAGCAGATGTTAGCAGGTGTTAGCAGGAAGATGTTAGCAGATGTTAGCAGAGGGCAGCAGGCAGATTTTAGCATTTTCTGTCATATAATGAGGACCTAAAGGAGGAAAGGTTTAACAGGAAACTTATTCTGTATCTATCAAATACATTTGGCCTCTTAGGGTTAAGGCCTTAAAGCGACCGTCTGTCACTGGCCAGCAGGGGGCGCTGATCTGTGTGCTGGTTTCTCCTGCCCCCAGAGCAAGAAGCGTCAGTACGACCAGGAGGTGGAGAACCTGGAGCGGCAGCAGAAGCAGAGCATCGAGCGGCTGGAGCAGGAGCACACCACGCGGCTGAGGGACGAGGCCAAGCGCATCAAGGCCGAGCAGGACCGCGAGCTGGCCAAGCTGCAGAACCTGCTCAAGAACCGCCGCAAGGAGGTGAGGACACGCCCCCAGATAGGCCACGCCCCCTCCGAGGCCACGCCCCCTGGAGAGGCCACGCCCACCCCCCTCTGAGGCCACGCCCCCCTCTGAGGCCCCGCGCCGGGGGGGCTCCAGACAGGCCCTGCCCCCCAGAGGGGCTCCAGAGTGTCTGTGTGTGTGTTTGTGTGTGTTTATTTGTGTGTTTTATATGTTTGTCTATTTGTGTGTTTGTATACGTGTGTGTTTGTGTGTTTGTAAATGTGTGTCTGTGTGTGTGTGTTTATATATGTGTGTGTTTGTTTACATGTGTGTCTGTGTGTTTATTTGTGTGTGTGAGTGTGTCTATTTGTGTGTGTGTGTGTGTGTTTGTATACGTGTGTCTGTTTGTGTGTTTATTTTGTGTGTTTGTATATGTGTGTCTGTTTGTGTGTGCGTGTCTGTTTGTGTGTGTGTGTGTGTGTTTGTCTGTGTGTGTGTGTTTGTCTGTGTGTGTGTCTGTGTGTTTGTAAATGTGTGTGTGTGCGTGTTGTTTTGTGTGTTTATTTGTGTGTTTGTGTGTCTGTTTGTGTGTGTTTATTTGTGTGTTTGTATATGTGTGTCTGTTTGTTTGTTTGTCTGTGTGTGTGTGTGTGTTTGTCTGTCTGTGTGTGAGTCTGTGTGTTTGTAAATGTGTGTGTGTCTGTGTGTGTGTGTTTATTTGTGTGTTTGTAAATGTTTGTGTGTGTGTTTGTCTGTCTGTGTGTGAGTCTCCTACAGACTAACTCCTGAGACCCCTGCTGGTCACATTGTGGGTTGTTTCTGCTTCCACCGAACTCTGTTGGTCTGTAAAACTCTGTTAAATGTCAGAGCTGGACTCGGATTAATGCGACCGGCCGTTACCACGGTAACCGTCTGGCTCAGGGCGAGTTAGTCTGACAGGAACTTGGCAGAAAGCATGCAAACACACACACACACACACACACACACACACACCTGGCCTCTGAGTAGGGATGGGGATCGTTAATATTTATTGATATCGATACCTTTATCGATACTCCTTATCGATCCGAGTCTTTATCGATACCACTATCCATACTTTTCTGTTATTTGGTGGAAAGACGATGCGACAATATTAAGCAAATAACTAATTGTATTTTAAATTAAATGTCATTTTTAATAAATGTTGGCATCAGTAGTTTAATTATATATTCTAAAATAATTAGAGCAATATACAACTGTATTACTCATGTTTCTCGCCAAAATCTCAATTTCCCTTTTCTTTAGGCTACACTTGAACGCATCATGATAACCTAATTGTCGTTTTACAGAGCCAATCTGAACACACGTCTGAAACTTTATTTACTTTTCAAGCTAACTAGCTTGTTTGCTGCCGATTACAACACGGATTTCACGATTACTATTGTAATAATAAAAAAACCACCAGACTCAATAGTGGTATCGATAAGCCCAAACGGTGTTGATTTTCGGGTTTTGAAAAAAGTGGAACCGGGTCCTTGATAGAACCGGGTTTCGATCCCCATCCCTACCTCTGAGGGCCCTCCAGCTTAGGGTTAGGGTTAGGAATAGAGCTCACGACCCCCCGAACTGTCCCCCCAGGAGCAGGAGTTCCTGCAGAAGCAGCAGCAGGACCTGGACAGCGCCCTGAAGAAGATCATCCAGCAGCACAAGCACGAGCTGGCCACCGTGGAGAGGGACTGCCTCAACCACAAGCAGCAGCTGCTCAGAGGTGCCCCCCCCCTCTGTTTCCCCTTTTAGAGGGGTCTTCCTCCA